TTATTATGGCTATCAATATTATTATTGTTATCAATTGATCAGTTCAAGTTTGAATGTAAACAGATGATTTCACTTAACTGAGTGACGTCTAACGATTACTGAGCCCGTATGAAACGTGCATGAATTCATGGCAATATATCTGTCTTGAAGATATGTGATCGCCGGACATGATCATATCTCCAAATTGGTTGATATATGATAATTAAATTCTAGGTCTTTCATTGAAATTCACCTATTCGGATATATATATGAAATATGTAGGTATTGGAAAACCGGCCAATGTACAAAGGTGCTCTTCTTCATTATTGTTCTTATACATTTTGTTTATTTTTTATTGTATTCTCTTTGTACATTTCATATTATTAGATTATTACTGTTATTAATTATTGTCGTATTATTTTCGTATTTGTTTCTAATATGAGCGAATCGAATCGCACATCTTTTTGCACAGTGACTCTTATCGTATCATCGCTGTTTAAGATTTACGATGAACGGTCAAAATGGTGAGGCATTTGAGTTGACTGTTGAAGAGTACTTCCGAAGATATAAAGGTTAGTGCCAGAAGGCAAGGGATTTTCACTGAAAACTTTATCGTTTGAGAATAACCACTAAAATTGAATTACTTATGAGATTATAATTGAATTGATTACTTATGAGGCTGGATGATAAGCGATAAGGTTTTGGTATTGTTAGCAGATGATATTTCTGAATTTTTTATTGATGTTTTTCAGTTGAGTTCGTTTTTTGCCTGGTGGATCCTTGCAAGCAATTTGATTTTCAAATGTGCACATTATTACATTTTTGGGCTTTACTCTGAGCATTAAGTATTAAGCAGAGTTGAAGAAAAGGTGTTACAATAGTCACATTTAAAGGGTGTTATAAAAGTTGGTGCTTCAAAAGCGTTGTCTGTTCAGATATCGAATTGCGTTATCCTGATTTGCCTGTGATCCAGTGTGGTTCATCTTCACGTCACATTTACATTCCAATGGAATTGGTTAATCTCTCAGACAAAGTTCAACGTGTCACCAAAATGCTCAATGAATTTCAGTTGCCGAAGCTGATTCGAGTATGTGTTGGTATTGTTTCTTTGAATTTTATAAATTGATGATTGATATGAATATGTTATTACATTTTATTGTATTTTATTGTTTCATTCATTAGATTACAGTTATTTGTTGATTACATTAACGAGACGATAATGTATATTGTCAGGTTTGTGGAATCGACCCAAAGGAAAGATTCAAGCAAATTGACTATATGCTAAACGGATTAGACCAGAGTAGAATGGATAACTTTTTACACTCGTTTGACGTCGAATTGGACAATCGCTTTGTGGAATTAAACGGTCGTGTGCTACCATCGCCACATCTTGAATTACATGTTTGTATTTATACTATTAATTTTGAATGTTGATGCGAGGAATGTATCTGCTTAGAAGTTGTTATTGACGAGTAGTCGGAAGAATTGACTCGCGTTTCTTGTTTTGGCACATAGTATGTGAATGTTGACTGATTGTGAATGAAAAGAAGTAATGCATTTTGAATTGTTGTTGTTCCAGAATGGTTTTCGTATAGCGGTGAGAGATGGTGTGTGGCCACTTGAGAATCAAGTTAAAGAAGCGCCAGTTCGAGTGATCTTCGGTGTGATTTGTGTTGATCGGGCGATTGAGTACCAACAATTCCGGTGAATTTCATCGGGAAATTGATTGATTCATTGCTAATTTGTGAGATTGCTAGTTAAAAGGATTCGTAATGCAATATGAGAAATATATGGCAATAGCTTTAACTCCTGATAGGATTTCGTTAGAATTTGAAACAAATCGTAAATACGATGCCTGCTTAAAGCGAATCTTCGCATAAATTGTATTATGTTGAACCGTTTTTGCGATGCTTTCAGACCATGTTTTAAAACATTTATGAGTGCGTGTGAATTGTTTGGTATGCAATTCGCAGATGGTTTTGAAACGGTGGAAGGAGTACCGCTGTATGAATGGGATTCATCAGCGATCAGATCGAATCCGTTGCTACCGAAAGTAATCGAATTCAAGACGTCATTATTCGAGCATGAACGAAGCCATCACGTTAAAATTAAACCAATGCTCATTTTCATTGTTCCAAGAGAAAACCCACTAGTGTATGGTTCGTGTTCAATGCTCTGTTGTTTGGTTATAAAATTGCTCATTGATAGTTTTATTTGCAATTTGTTCAGAAAATATAATCGTCAACAGATCTAAAAAGAAACGTAAATATCTGTTATTGTTATTGTTGTTGTTATGAGTTATTATTATGAATATGTCATTATAGGTCATGTTAAAGTGGTATGTGACTTGAAAGAAGGAATCGCTTCACAGGTGCTTCTCTCAAAAACACTCACGAAAATGAGCGGTAATCCTGAACGATGTGCAGTGGCACATAATGTGTTTTTGAAGGTGAACGCTAAATTGGATGGTGTCAATAATGGAGTGTGCCGAGAAAGTCTTGAGTTAGTAGTCGTCTCTGCATCTTATCATTTTGCTACAATAATGTTCGCTTGATGTGTATGTTTTTGCCGTTTGCGTTGGAAATTTTCACAGTGTTTAAATGTTTTAACTTCCGTCAACTTCACTTCATTCTTTAGAAAGAAGCACCTCTAAAGTCAAAGCGTTTTCGCCATCTGGGTGCGAGATTGTATGTTTGCGTATAAAAGAATTCTGGGTTTCTGAATGTCACAATAATCTTTTTATGGTAATAATAATAGACAGAAGTGATGAGAATGATGATAATGATAAGAGATGATAGCAATGGTAAAGATAATGTTGACTTCAGGTGGTCGAAATTCACGAATAAGAATGAGGCAACATTATTCATTGGTGTAGACGTCACCCATCCAGCACCTACTGATAAGCAGTCGCCATCAATTGCAGCGGTTGTCAGTTCGATTGATGTGACTGCGACGAGGTACTTTTATGAAATTCATTTTATCGAGATCCCGTCTGATTAGGATCATTAGCATTCATTTATTAGTATCAACACTTTCGATATTGCATTTCAGTGTTGAGCATTTCATTTCCGTCGTTGTTCAGTTATGTTTTTAGCGATATTGTTGAAAATTTTCTGTGATTCTTAATATTATTGTTACTATTGTTTTTGATGTAAATGAATGAAGTTGTTATTGGTTGTTTGAAGGGATTTTTATGGGTAAGTTGATTGCAATTTATTACTGGTGTTGATTATTTCAGTGATTGAGATCTTTTGTGGTAGTTTGTTGTTACGCGTAGCATTGGTTCAAGTCGTAAATTTTTCTACAGATCATAAGATTTGACACATTTAATAGGTATTCTTGTTCATTCAAATTGCAACACTGTCGAAACGATCGCATCATTCAAATGGTGGATCCACTGAAAGAGCGTTTAATAGACTTTTATAGAAAGTCCGGATTAACACCAGCTCATATCGTGATATTCAGGTGCGTTCACTGATCAGAATAATAATCATTGTGGTGTTGTTAGTGAGAAATCTGTGGCAATATTGCTAGCGTTAAGAGTATTCGTTGTTTATTTTGGAAGTTTTATCATTTCATTCATCATTTTCATTCCACTTGTTTAGTTTCCAATTTGAGTATTTGATTGTTAAGTGGTTTATTTGAGAGTAACCGAATTTTTGATGACAATTCTAATGGTAGTAATGATAATGGTGTTGAAGAGATGGCGTATCAAACAGTGAATTTTTGGGCACAATGAACGAAGAGCTAACAAATTTGAAAGTTGCTATGAATCAACTGGAGCCCAGTTATAATCCGACGGTTTCGTATGTTGTCATTCAGAAACGACACCACACGCGATTTTATGTGGAAGGAAAGCAGTACGCAAGGTAACGTTTGTGTTACTGAATATTCGTTGGCTTGTTTGAGGCTTAAACTCAGCGATAATGAAACAGATGTTTGATTGAATATCGTGTGAAAGCGATGAATTTAGTCGTAGTATGAATTTATTCTAAATTTTATAACGTTTTCATTTTGCTTATACATATACCGAGCAGTGTATTCATTGGACTTGTGTTATTTGTGTGATGTGATATAAGATTTTGGAGGATATCAAATGATTAGGTTAAAGTAGACGAATTCAAAAGTAAGGTTTTTTTTTTCAGATGCAAAAGCAACGTTCCACCAGGAACAGTGGTTGACGACGATATAACCAGTCCGAACATATTCGATTTTTATCTTTGCTCTCATCTTGGCGCTATTGTAAGTCGATTGCTTAATTTTATATGCATATCAGTTTCATTTCTCATTTTTATCTTATGATTTATGAGAAGCTTATGATTTTAATGGTCTCACATTGAAGGGAACATCACGACCTGCACACTATACGGTTCTCTATGATTCGTGGAATCTATCGGCAGATCAATGGCAGGTTGGTTGTTTTTGCTGATTGTTGTGATTATTATTCTTAACGAAATTATTATTACTATTGTTATTTTCACTATTGTCAGCTTTTTTCAATTGTTATTATTGTGTGATCGATGGTGTTCGTTGTGAGTGTTGAGTCATTAGCGATAGGTTGATATTATTGGGGAATGATCTGAGTGTGCTTCTGTTTCATATCAAGTTCGATGATATTTATCTTCGTCTATGATCAGTATAATCAAATGGAAGTGTCATATTAATCAGTCACAGAATTGAACTAAAATTCAGTTGAAGTCAATTAAAATTATGAAGTTTTCAGCAAATGGCCTATGCACTTTGTCATTTATATACGCGTTGTGCACGTTCAGTATCGATCCCAGCACCGATTTACTATGCACATTTGGCGTGTAAACGGGCGAGATTTTATGTGAACGAGACGTTGTTAGTGATTCCTTATAGTGTTATATATAATGAATAGACCTTTTTATGAAGCGTTTATTTGTCAAATGAGCAACAGATCAGTGGTTATTTCGAGATAGATTTTAAAGATATCGAAGTGCTCTTTATTGACATGTTTGTTAGTTTTTTCAGGGGCTCCTCGAAACCTGGAAGTTCTTTAGAAAGCAAGGAAGGAGAAAGAATCGCAACTGAGCTGAATGAAAAAATTAGAGTTCACGATAATACGCCTCGTATGTATTATGTGTGATTTAATGATGAGTTAGCGCAATTGAATCAGTTCAGTGTTTATGTATAATGTGTCAATATAATCTGTCTAATCAGTTCGTAATATTTGTAATATTTTGTAATATTTATTGATGAGTTTTGATCATTGAAACATGATTTGTATCATTTTGAATCAATTAATTGAAAGTTTAGTAATCATATTGCATTCCGGTTGAATTTCACTGTTATATTAAGTTTTGGTTCATCTCGCATCTAGAATTTATTCCAGTGTAATTTCATGTTCTCAAAATTTCATTCTTTCATATCGTATCGTATTCTCTGCAAGTATTACGTTTCTTGAAATTGTTTTTCAGAATATTATGTTGTGATTTTGTGGTAGAATTCAGTTCACTTTTTTGTATTCTGTGCGCAATATTGTGCAGTTGTGTGACAATTCGTAATGAAACTAATGCAATGACCATCTTCACTAACGATAACTTATTTCATTGAACTGATTAATTGGTCTGATGACATATGATCTAAAATAAGCTTCATGTTTGCAAACGAAAACGTCTTTCCCTGAATATTTCTTCATTTGTGAATGTGTTCTCTAGTGAAAATTTTGATGCTGACCAGATTATGTCCATTTGCTCGTGTCACTTATGTGATACAATTTTTTTGAATGATGGTGGTGATGAATGCGATGTAATGATATTAAGTAAGCCAGTAAACTCTCCAATTTTCCGTATCAACTCATTCAGCTCATAAATTACCTACACACATCAATTGTTTGCTCCTTTGAACAGCTGATGATTTTTGAATTTTGAGCGCAACAACTGCACTCACGTGATGATCCCATTCAAAGTGAGTGATAAAAGTTTACTTGAACTTTGAAGGAAGTATAGAAATCCGAAGTGCGACTAGGTAACGTTATGGAGAACATTAATACACTGGAACGAGATCATTTCCTGTACGGGGATCATAATTGCCCACTTGAATCCAGTGATTTGATTGAGGAACAATTGCAGAGAGTGATTCCCATATTGTTATCTTAATCGATCAATTGGAACCTTGTGAAGGTTATAAATCTTTGTGAATTAAACGTTATGTATATTCTATGGGAATGCATTGCATCTGGTAAAAACAATCATTTCATTGATGATATAAATCTATCTAAATCTGCTACCGTATCAAAATCAGTATTGGCAAAAGTTATAAAGAGCCAGATGGGCGAATAAAAGAGTTTAAAGTTAAGCAAAAAGAATCAAAATTCCGTTCGATCACATTCCATTCAACATCAACTTCACATGACTCACATATCGCTTGATCATTCAATGTGTAATGCTTCCTTCAATCCCTTCAATCTGCCAACTCAATTCCATCAATCTACCACCCTCGTTACGCATTTATTTGGTCATACATTTCCGTTTACTATGACATTTCGTTCCAGTCTATCATGAACAATTGGTGATACCATTAGGAATGTCGTGTATTAGCGAATTGGTAATGCATTGACTATAAGTGATAATGCGAATTAATAATTTTACGTTAAGCCTACTATAAATTATTGTGATCTCGGCAGTTGAATATGATCAATTGAAATTAAGGCAATGAAGGTAGACGTTGATGAGCTGTGCGATAAACCTGATGAATTATGGGATAAGTACATACAAGAGGGTCGAGTCTGCGAGCCTGCTTCGCTACCAAAGTGAGTGAATTATGCTTGCCTACTGACAGGTCGAACAGAAAATTGTCCAGAAATTTTTCTTTGACAGATGTTTTGAGTTGGGAATTTCATCGGATCTCAACATATTAAAGTTTTTCGAAGTATAATTCAGTGTACTGAGTCAAGGCAGTGCTGGCTAGAGTAGTTTCAATAACAGATATTATTGATGTGAATGTGATGATTGATCATTGCGAGAGTAGATTGTGGAAGGCAATAAAGAAGGATGCCGTACGGTTCGTTTGTATTTCGGATACACACGATCAGCTGGATCGAATTGTGGGCCGTATTCCTGCCGGAGATGTACTCATTCATGCTGGCGATTTGACCAATTTTGGTGATCGAAATGAAATTATCAAATTCAATAGCACTATTGGTATTCATCAGTTTTTCCTCAATAATATTAATTCTTCACACACTTTCTTACAAGCCGAAAAAGGCTCACTCAATACAGCTAAATGTAACAAAATTTGTACAGTTTATTCAACGTGATCTTCATTAACATTCCCTGAACTCTACTGCTAGTATATGTGTTGTTTTATAGGATCATTAGCACATAAGTACAAGATTGTGATTGCTGGAAATCATGATTTGGGATTTGAGGATAATGAAGATTTGAGTGGTCGTGGGAGGTGCTACCGTGATCGGGGTACACCACAGGGCTATAAATTGCTTACGAATTGTGTTTATCTGCAAGATTCTGAAGTAACGGTCGGGTACTTGCGTTTCCTTACTCATTTATGCATTATTTATTTGTGATTGTGAGCGTCATGCACGTTGTCTTTACATCATCACTGGATAAAACGATAAAAGATTCATACTCTCAGCGATATTAAGTTGATATTAAGCATGCAAATGACCAGCGAACATTGAAGCGTTTATTGCTATAAGATCAGAAATGTTTCACAAACATATTATGGCATCTATCGAGTACAACCTAGAATTTAAAGAAAAAAACTGAATTGAATGAGTGGATTATTTGAGCGTGAAACTAATTTTTGTGATTCTTTTCAAATTGATTGTTCATTCACAATCAGGTTTATGGAATAAGAATCTATGGGTCATCATGGCATCCACTGGCTGGCTATTCGTTTTCGAGGAATCGCGGCAAAGATTTGCTGGAGAAATGGGATTTAATACCAGACGGAATTGATGTTCTTATAACACACACTCCACCGCTTGGTCATCTAGATAATTTCAAGGTAAATTCATTTAAAAAGTTCAATAGATGTTTGGTTAGTTATTCGTTTTATTAAGCTGTTCACTGTCGATTCTTTTACCTTCTCTTATCATATTGCATTCAAATAACGTGTCATATAATCAGTTCTTGCCGAACTTCAATCTATAATAATGTGATAATACGAACAACAATGACAATCTTAATAGTAACAATAGTGATACTATTAATATTGAACTGAATGTGGATAATCCTGGTATTAGTAGTATAATAATAGGCTGATCAGAATGAGTAATGATCCTATTGCTGGAAATTACCAATTTAGTAATATGTGTTCTTCTTTCTTGGCCATTTTCTTACAAAATTGAAGGGAACACGTTGGGGCTGTAGTGAGTTGCTGAATACGATCGAACGTCGAGTACAGCCTCGTTTTCACGTATTCGGTCATGTTCACGAGCAGAACGGTGCGACAACGAATCGTAAAACAACATTCATCAATGCATCCATCTGTAATCATGCTCTTCAAACCGTTTACGATCCCATTGTGTTCGATATTCCACTGAAAAGTGGATTCTCCAAAGAATAGTTCCAACTATTTCAGTTGTAACAAATATCAGTTATTCATATTCATATCAATTTCATTCACTTTTTCGTCAGTTTTCTTCTTTTATCTCTTGAATATGTTCCATTACGTTGTGCAGTATTCGAAATGTGAAACTGAACACATTTTGCTAATTGTGAGATTAATAAACTTTAAAATAGTATCGTTGAAATTGCAAAAGAAAATTCAATTGTTACAATGATGTTGGTAATTGAAACAAAATGTATGATGGTGATAAATATATAACGATTCTCTCAATAATAATAATAATAATAATAATAATAATAATACATTCAGTGCCGCATCGTAGAGATTCCTTAAATCCAGCACTTTCCTCCCAAATTCATTTGATCACACCCTTCCGTTTATTATGATATTTTGTTCGAATCTATCATGAACAACCGGTGATAGCATTGGGGGTATCGTGTGTTAGCGAACTGATAATGCATCGAATGGTAGTCGTTAATATGATGTTTACTTTCCTTATTACACTGAACAGTATTTGATAATACAACTATTTGCTCCTCTCATACAAAAACAACCGATCTCTTTATGTCCCGTCTGTATGTAATTCCATAAACAGTGTATAATTATCCGATAATCATGTCCTCGTC